GGCCTAAGGGAGAGTTCAGGCTCCTCGTAGGGAGTTCGGGCTCCTAATAGGGAGTTCGGGCTCCTCGTAGGGAGTTCGGGCTCCTTGTAGGGAGTTGGGACTGCTGGTTTCCTCCCTTTGGTGCTCGCACCTTGGGCGCGCTGTTGTACCATGTTGAGTGATTACGAGGTCTTGCCTTGGCGCGGGGAGTTCGCAAGGTGGTAGGTGGATTTGTCCCGTACTTCGAATCTCGGTTGACTGATAGCGCGAGGTGCGTTGTCAGGGTTCGTAGTTTCTTCGAGCGCCCAAAAGACAGAAAATGCGCCGACCTGCCTACAAATGCTGCCAGACGTGACAGCGCGCGCTTTATTTCAAAAATCAAAAAAGTGCACCGCTGGGAGACGTGATAGCAGGCATCTTTTCAAATTTTGAAAACGTGTCACTGCCGCCTTTAATGTGAGGAGACGTGCGCTGGCGTTCTGTCAATTTCAGAAAGACGTGCGCCGGTGCTCTATCAGTTTCAGAAAGACGTGCGACAATCACGTCTTGGTCTCAGGGGACATGCGGTCAACGCGACTGCAGGCCGTCAGATTGGCTTTGATCTGTGTTGTTGCTTCTCGGTCACTATGGGTATAAATAGTGGGGGACCCCAGTCGCTTTGTCACTGCTGTGCTTTGCCTCTTGAGCTCGCGTCCAAGTTTCAGCTCGCGTCCAGGCTTTCAGTTCGCGTTCAAGGTTTTTGCTTGTTCAAGTTCCCGTAGTCTTGTTCAAGCTTTTTTCCGGGTGAGTACCTTCCTGGAATCCACCTTCTCTCCTCGATGTCTAGCTCAAATAGCTCAGACGATTCTTCAAGTGGGTCGGATGCAGGTTCTACGAACCGAGTTGCATCCTCTGATAGTCCTAGCGAGCCGGAGGTAGAGCTCGAGGAAGAGTTCGAACCCATAGGTCGAGTCGCCTCGGGTAGTTTGGCGTTCACATCTCGTCGGGGTCAGACGTTAGACAAGTTTGGCCCCTCGACCATGACGCCTGAGGGGCTCCAATCCCTTATTACCCATTACAATTTGCCTAGGGAGTACGCTTATTTCATACCTTCGGGTAGCTTTCCTTGGGAACACGGTCCTGATGAGATCATGATATTCCGGGAGAAGCTCGCTGCGGGGCTGCGATTGCCTTTCCATCCCCTCCTTGTCGAGGTCTTGAATCACTTCGGCGTTACGGTCGGCCAACTTCACCTGAACTCCATTCGTAATTTGGTGGGGACAATCTCCCTATTTTGCGAACAGAGCTTTCCTTTAGACTTGGAGATCTTCTCTTCCATCTTAATGCTTAAGAAGCAAGC